AAAGTAATAAAAAAAATAAAAATAATATCCTACCAAACATTTGTTTAGAATTAATCTGGTTGTGTAAATGCACACCTACTTTCTTTCTTTGTTGAAATCAGGTCTCTCTTGTAAATGAGTCCTCGAGGCTCAATGGGATTTACCTGTATAAATAAAGGTTGATTGATTGATTACTTATCCACATGCTGTCAGACCACATGATCGCTTCATTGCAAGGTCCTATATCGTGCTTCAATCACATAAAGTTAGGAAAGCATAAAAGGGCTTCTTAGTAGAGAACACACAGCTTCCTTAATTTACCGCTAAGAATGGGCCAAAGGGTTCAGCAAAGTGTAGTTGAGTTAAACTGGCTATTTGAAGAGCATAACTTGAAACAAGTTCTCTTTACTGATTAATTTGTGTTTTGAAATCTTTGGCGTTCTCAGAGGGTGTATTAAAGGTGGCTAGCAGAATGTCAGGTGATTCAACAGCAGATCATAAAGAGAAGAATATTTACCTCTGTGGATAATTTATTTATTCTGGAACTGCAAACTCACTGTGAATACATTTTACTTAGATGAAAGAGAAATAATTCTCCCACCCTCAGAGACATGCTCTAACCTCAATTTACATCCTTCTGTGTGCTATCTTTAATAAAATGCTTCTTTAAAATGTTACGCATATTCCCATTTTTCTATCTGTTCCTATTTTTACATTTGGTTGTAGCAAGCACAATATTTGTCATTTTTCGTAATTATTTTTTCTTTTAGCTATTTTTCTACATCAATTCAATTTAATTTGTACTGATGATGTTGTCGACAGACCAAACGAAAAACAGAAAAATTGAAAAATAACACTTTTTTTATTATGATGGAAAACACAATTAAATGTTTTTCTCATACTAAAATAAATATATATATATATTAACTATTTTTCTGTTTGTTTTTTATGAAACTGTAAGATAATCTTTTTTTAGCTATATAAAAAACAAAATGCAAATCTTCCCTTTTGAAAACCTAAAAACAGCAAGCATTACACGTGAACATAAAACAATCTAACGTTCAGTTGAGTTGATTTGTGATGATTAGCATCTGACCGATTTAGTCCTTTATTTAAGCGTAAAACCGAACAAAGCACAGCCAATAATTCATTAAACCTACACTTACTGCTTAGCTTGTTGGTAAATAAACTGATCGGTCAATAAAATGATGCTCCTTTAAATAGTTAATCAATAACTTAACTTGTTTATGTGATAACTACGAGTGATGCTCTTAATATTAAGGATTCATTTCAACATCTCGTGCACCTGTATTTCAACTGGCGCTAACATCCATTGTGTTCGTTCATCTTTGGTTCTGTTTGTTCTGATTGTTGTTAAAGGTGTGCTGTTGTGAGATCGTTTGTGTAACTCTGTGTAAAGGAGACCAAATGAGGGTGTGTGCATGCATATATGCGCATCTTGCCGAGGTCATTACAGAGACAGATGACAGAAACAGTTGGCTCTAAACGGGAGGAGAAATAATTAGCTCTCAGAGAAAAGGGAGTGTTATCTGTGCTTTAAAAAATGGGGAGCCTATTTTCTGGCCGACTTCAGTGTGAAAACAGTCTGGCGCTGAATGGAGACGGAGTTCAATCCAAGTCTTGTGTAGCGAGGCTAATACAGAGCTTGTTGGAAATAGTGACAATGCATCCCTGTCTCTGTGTGTGATTTCCTATTACACATTGTCAGTAGCTTAATAGGCTCCTCCTAAAGCCCTACTCCATTCATCAAATTTTTTTTTAACCTGCTTGCTCCCGTTTTGGGTCATGAAAGCTACTGCCCGTTTCCAGCGGTTATCGGCAAGAAACTGGTACACCCTGGACATGTTACCAGTTCATTGCGTTGTCACGTAGAGACAACTATTCTCACACATTTACACCTAAGGTCAGTTTAGAATTAACCTGACATGCATGCTTTTTAGTGGGTGAAAACTGGAGTGCCTGGAGAAAACCCGTGCATGGGGAGAACATGAAAACTCCATGCAGAGAGGTCCCAGCCAGGTCACGAACCAGCAAGTCTCTTCCTGAAAGGCAATTTTGCTAACCAATGGCATCACGATACAGCCTACATTATGAGTCAATATCCATATATATATATATATATATATATATATATATATATATATATATATAAATTGTATATGTGATAAATAAATACACACTGCTTGCAATGTGATTTTTAGCTCAAATTAAGGATGAGTAACATGAAAGTAAAAGCAAAGAGCAGGTGTAGTGTAGGCCTGTCGCGATAAATAATAAATCAATCGCAAGATAAATGAAAATTATCGACCTCATTTTGATTTATCAGCTTTATCATTTCTTCCTGTTTCTCTCTTTCTACTGAAGACACTGGATGACAAAAAGCTCAACTCCGGTGCTCTTCACTGACCCCTCCCTTTCTCATTTCTCTTTAAAATCTGCTTCAACCATATAAAACCACGTTTTTGGATCGTTAAAAGCAGCTAAGCTGAGAAGCTAAGCTAACAGGCCGACCTCAGGAAAAAGCCTCCGTCTTGTCGAAGCTCCAAAATTCACAGTTGAAACCTTCTTGTAAAAAGTTGCTTTTCTCTGCAAAAAGAAGCTGAGAACTTGTTTACAGATTTTTTTTAATTAAAAGCTTTGTGTGAAAAATGCTATACTAAAGAGCTCAAACCACACCGAGCGTCCACCATTTTGAGAACCAAAAAAAGGAAAAAGAGACAGCCCATGTCACGTCAAGGAGCCTCCCTCCCGTTTTTCTTAAAGAGACACGCTGCTCGTTCCCTCATTATCATTCCTTCGGTTCAAACAGTCTTATACTGCCATCAAGGGATCAAAAAAAGCTACTACACTCAAAACAAATTAACCAATATTTATTTTTAAATATGGCAATAATTACTAATTATTGTCAAATTTCAAACAATATTATCGTTTATCGCAATCATTTCTGAGACAGTTAATCGCCCAGAAAATTTTGTTATCGTGACAGGCCTAGTGTATTGAATAAAATGATTTAGATATGGAATTTTTACTAAGCTAAGATCTTTTTTTTTTTGTGGTTTAAATTAGGGGTGCACTGATAAATCGACCGGCCGATTTATCAGCCCCGATTTCCTTAATTTTGGGAAATCGGCCGATACTTGAATGAGAAACCGATTTTACCGATTTTTTTAGTTTTAACAACAGTTGTCTAAACTTCATTTATATTTCAGAGATTATCTCATGGCCAGTTAAAACAAATGTTATTGTTTCTAGGATATTGTTCAAGGGTATGTTTTTCAACAAAATAATAATGGAAAATTGAAGGTGCATTGTGACCTTATAACACCTGACAGAATCGCTTATAAAACAAAATCGGTATTGGCCAAAATTGGAATCGGCAGGTCAGACTTTTTAGAAATCAGTGATCGGCCAGAAAACGGCAATCGATGCACCCCTATTTTAAATTGCTGCATCCCTATGTGTGAGACACTTCAAAAGACAACTAATTTAAACAGATCAGTCATGACTTTCACAATATAAAATTCTAAAGGTTAAGACCTCTGCAAACTACAAAGTCTGGGTTGGCTTAATGAGCAGCCTCTGACTCAGCTTTCTGTTCATTTGGATAACTTTCAAGCTTTGTTTGAATCTAAGTTTAACCAAATTCAAACAACCTGTCTCATTTTGCATTACAATTTCAAAGTACTCATAAGTTCAAGGTATCAGTTAAGGAAGGAACCTGTCATGGTGCTTTGTCATTATCTTAAATAAGTCTGTTTTCATTTAAGGCTATTCAGAATTTCCATAATTTAGGGCCAGTAATGTACATTCTAATGTATGTCAACAATAACATTTGAGACTCATCACAAAGTAAGACGAAAGATTTTATGAAAGGAACCTAGTCATGCAGTTGTTCTCCAATCCGCTGTTACTCAGACTTTTGAAGTGCTTTTTTCTATGTTGTGTTGTTTTGCAAAAGCTCAGGTTGTTAATATTTTTTAAATCTGTTGAATGCCAAAAAACACTCTGAGATTCAAACCCTAAAAGCAATCATTATTCACATCCTCGAGGTCATCCTTCTTTGAGATGACCCTACAGCTGAATCGTGGGCCCCGTCTGTGCAGTTTGTTTTATTCATGAAGCTCATTTCTTTTCCACTCTGCATAAGTTTTTTGGCTAACACTGGTTAGCTCATTTAGGTGAATTTGAACTCGTATGATAAACGTTTTTATTTTTTTCAATTGGCATTTCAGCCCTGAAAGCTTCTGCTGTATCTATAAACCTGCTGGCCTCTCCACCTCCCATTAAGCATAATGCAGGGTGGAAATGTCTCTCTTAAATCGCTGAGCACCTCTCAAATCCCTCTGAGACCAATAGTCGAAAATGACAGATCGGAGGGTGCCTCGGCATGGCATTTAAGGCTGCTAACGAGATAAAGCGCCCAAGCTTGGCACCTCTCACCCGCTCGCTACTCCTCCGTCCTGCTTACTGTCATCTGTACAGCTAAAGAGCTTTAGCGGTGAAGCCCATGAAGTGGGGGCCACAAGCCAGCTTGGCTTCATCCCTTCCTCACCCCCTCTTCTTACCACTCTCCCTCCTCTCTTTCTCCCTGACTTAATTCCTCCCACCACTGGCACATAATTAAAAAGTGCTGGGCTCAGTGCCCAAGTGGCTGAAGGCTATGAGTCACTCCATAGGCTTAGAAAAACTAGGGATAAATCACCTGAGGATGGAGGCTGGAACTTCTCTCTTACACCTGGGTTCATTTGGGGGTACCATATTACCAGGCCCTCCAACCAGACCCTGTCCCACAGGCCTGAATTTATTTGACTCTCACACCCACCACCATAAAATTATAACTTGGCGTAATAATTCCCTGCTTGATGCAGTCCAATCCAAGGTTAATAGCTGCCTCGCTGACTTTGAGCAAGCCGAAGGATGCCGCCACTCCAACGCTCATCACCTCCCCTTTTACTCCTCGTCCACCTCCTCTTGTTTAGCCTGTAAAAGTAGCACAGGCAAGGAGATTGGAAGTGCCTGGAAGGAGTTATTGTCCAGTGTAACCCTATTAATGGTCCCCCAAGGTGCTGTAAGTGTCTTTCTTATGGGAGAAGCTGCCATTAATCCTCAGATCAAACCTTGAGACTCTCACTGTTTTACTGCATTTTGGGCCCTGAACTGCATTCAGTCGAGGGCCCGAACAGAATAGATTTGCATCTAATGAAAAGAGCTCAGTAAAGAGGCATTCCCATTAACAACCTATAAATAAAACTTTAGTTTGTTTGTTTGAACTTGTGAGCTTTAAAAACTTCACTGCTGTGTGCAGCTAAAGTTTTTGATCAAGGAAACTCCTGGTCAAGGAGGCCTGATAGTATGTCTAGTGTGTAAGTTTTACATGTGACTGCTGAAAAAGTTATTGGTTTTATGAAGCTTAACCTGATGTACAATTAGTGAAACTATATAGTCCAAATTTTACAGCAAATCAAATGGTTAATTCAGTGCACACCCTGTATGATATAAGACATAACATTAATAAGAAATACACAAGACATTTATGCAAATATGCACACACTTACACAACACTCAAAAGTGATGGAAAATATACCGCAAAGCAGATTTCTCAATATTACAACAAAATAAGAGTATAATTTAAGTGAATGAGAAAACCTGAAACAGATACTTTGGTGATATTTTGGAAATTAAGAAAGAGGCCAATTGAGATGGTCTGGACATGTCAAGAGGAGGAACAGTGGGTATATTGGTAGAATGATGTTAGAAATGCAGCTGCCAGAAAAAAGACAGAGAGGAGATATATGGATGCAGTTAGAGAAGACATGGAGGTGGAATGAGGACAGACGATGCAGAGGACAGAGTGAAATGGAAGGGGATGACTCGCTGTGACAACCCCTGAAGAGGGAAAAGCCATGAAAACAACAATAAACTTGTAACACTACATGATTATTGTTTGTTAACATCTACAACATAGAGCTGTCATTTCTAACCCGGAGCCCTGTCCGGCCTGACCCAGATTAGGGCCAGGCCATTTAATATGCGGGCCGGGCCTGTGTCGGGCTTTTGATTGCGTCGGCAAACGTGCGCGGCTGATGATCCAATTGTATGGCACCATGGCTTGCCATACATTCACCAGCTGCATGCGGCCATTTGACCGCGCGCTGACTGGCCTTGAAAGAGGTAAAAAAATAAAAATTTCAGTTAAGCTTCAGATGGGACAATACTGCCAGGCAGTGATCGCCCAAATGGACGTTCATTCAGCCGCTGCACTCAGCGGACATGTGTGGCCGACGACCCAAACAGGTGAGATCCCAAAATATTTTACATGTCAGAGCAGGGTCCATGTCTGAATAATGCAGAATATGTGCTTTTCATGCGCCATAAAAGGACAAACACCCCCTCATCTCCGATCTTCTGCCCTCTTAGCCGTCCATGTACACTGACCGTTAATAACTATATAAGCAGTCAAAGCGTAATTAAAAATATCTGGGGTATTTTCAAGTTCAACTTGTAATTACTGTTAATTCGTCTGATCAGGTGAGGTTCGGAAATGATGGCTACAGGCTAGGGCCAGGTCGGGTCGGATTTTTTCGACCCGAATGCAGCTCTACTACAACATAGGCATCTAAGACAACTGTGCATCAATGACAGGAATTCAACTTGACTTGTAAAAGTGTCTTAACAGCCGATTTAGAGGCTGATCAAGCATAACATTTTCATTTGTGTGAAGTTGGGAAAAAATTACTGTTATAATAAAAACATGAGACTTTCTTCTTTTGGGGGTAATCAGAAGAATGAATGGAGCTTTGAACTGTGAATTCATGGAGGTGTGCTTGATGGTTTCTAGCTACTCCCTCAACGCATCTCTTCTCTCTGTGTCTGCTTTTCTTTCAGATCCACATCATTGACTTTGATGATGAAAATAACATCATTAATAAGAATGTCCTTCTGCACCAAGCCGGGGAGATATGGCACATTGCTGCTAGTCCTGCAGATAAAGCTGTTCTCTCCACCTGCTATAACAAGAGTAAGTTCTACTGTTTCCTTCTGTCTTTGGTTCTGTTCTGTCTTTTTATGTTTCTGTCTTCTGTTACTCTTTTACATTTTCTTCATCCTCTATTTTTTGTGTTTATCCCATATCTTCCGAGTGTAGTGATATTTAATGACTGGTATGTAATAACCAGGCGATCCTTTCAGGTTTAATAGTTGCAGCTGTGTTAAAAGTCGTGTTCAAACTCAGATCAATATCAATACTAATGTGTGAACATGATGACCCACAAGAAGGATAATGGCTGGGGTTGTCAAGGTGCTATTCAACAGGAATATTTTCAACAATGGCTTTGCACACATTTCTGGTTTGCTTTATTGTAATTATACAGAACTGGTGTGACTTAATCGCTTCTATAGGGGCATTACAAAGCCAGAATAGTTGTTTTAATAAAAAAAAAGATGTGATGTCAGTGCTATTGAATGATAACTGTGTTCACTTGTATGTTTTTTTTTTTAGCATTAACATAATTTTTTAAAGATATTTGTTTCTGTTATTGAACTTATTTAAGTATATTGTTTGCATAATATTCAAAACGTATAAAAATAAATCTTAACATTTATTGGTTTTAAAGTAGCTTCTTTACATTTTCAATTATACAGTACATTTTAAATAATGTCCAAATCTTAGTTTTGCATTTTACACCTAATATGTGTGGCGTTTTTGAAAATGGGAACATAATTAGCTTTGACAAGGAATTATTTTTTTATTTGATTGTGCAGAAGAGTGGTACTGATTTTTTTTGTTGTCATCAGTATTTACTGTAAAAAAAACAAAACAAATTTTGTCAATAATTCATATTCTTTAAGATAAATACTTTTACAAAACACCAGAATAGCTTGAATTTACAACCTGTGTATGTATAGATGTTGCATGTCTGAGTTTGTGGCACATTGGAGAAGACAGCCATGTCAAAAGGGATATGGGGTAAAGAATAAAGATGGAACATGGGGTAGTTACCTCTGGGACAGAGTGTCGTCTTTCACTTTGTGTCAGCTGAGTTCTGTACGCTTGAACTAACAAGATGACAGCGGCTCTGGACAGCTCACCATGCACTGCTACACACGCCACCCACTCATACAAGAGTAAATTTAATGCAAAAAAAAAAGTAATCGCATATGAGTCTAACTGCACTATTTCCATACTGCCTTTTCGTGGCACTGCAACATGTGAGAAGGCTTTTCTTCATGATGATTGCTTGGCCACTTACTAAAACCACTCAAGAGTCTGCAGATCTGCCATGTGTTTCTTTTTAATTTGACAAATAGGCCTAACGCCAGTGTTTCTTTGCCCAAGAGCCGCCTACGCACTGTCAATATCTACACCAAAAGAAATTAGACTGTTTTGCTCCCTAACTCTCTTTGTGATTGGTTAAACATTACAGCTTCAAACTTATATTCCAATTACTGCACCAGTTCTGCATTTACTCCTCTGCTTCCAATTAGCAACTCCAGCACTGGGGTGGATGTGCCAAAATGACTCATTTAGGATGTCGATTAGGAGGAAAGTGCGTGCTCTTCACCACATATTAGCAGCTGTCCGACACAGACCGACTCACTGAGGTGTGCTTCCATCACTCCAGAGGACAATGCACTGGCTTACACTTGCTTCCCAGAGACTTCCTTCAAATCTAAGTCTGATCACACTGACTTAAAAATTCTGTTGTCTTTATTCAGCCAGTGACAGCAGGGTGGTGTCCTGTGCCGCAGTATGGCGAATGCCCTCTGACTGGGAGTCGGGAAGCCATGAATCACCTGATGACTCCGCCCACAACCCTCAAACCCTGGAACTGCTTTGTCACCTGGACGACAGCTCCCATAGAAATGCTGCCTGGTAGGTGTTGCTGGGGTACTGTTGCCATCGTAGAGCTACTGCTTTAAAGGAAATTGTTCTGATGGTCTATAAAATATTTGGCTCCTTTGTAGACTGGGTATTAAAAATATTATTACAAGTTGCATGATGCTTGATCACATACCAGTCCCGTGATAATGCTGTCACTATTATGAACATAATCTTAATTATCTTTATTCAGTGTTTCAAAGACTTTACCAGAATATGACTTGTAATTTCATTTTTGTCAGAATAAATTAGTCCCTGACAGCTCAGAGAGTCACTCAGCAGAGTGTTGCAAAAACACAGTTTCTTACATTTTCCATGTCTGCAGTTTCGCCAAGGATAATTATTGATCTCTCTTTTCAGCAAAAATATTGCCACAAGTCACTGCAAATATATATAGTTGAGTATATAATGGTATTTTTCAGAGATACCATTTCATTAAAAGTTGTAATTTAAAACGGGTTTAAACAATATGAACCCTACAAGTCTCAGCAGAGATGTTGCTCTTTATTTTGCCTGACACCCTGGAGAAAGAGTTCGACTTTATATTTTCTTAGCTATTTGATGAGATCAGAAATGAAACTGTATTAACTTGTCAGTGGCAACTTTATAGTATTAGTTGTAAAACAAAAATGGCCTTCCTCTGGAGCACACCAGCTACATACTACTGTTCATTCCCTACAAACAACTAGGTAGCAGCATCCTTATTACATTTATCATCTAGGGACCACTATTTGTAATAATTACGGAGACTGTCTGTGTTAATCCCGTGTGAATCAGCCATGTCAGTAATTTGTAAAGTAAAAATTCCCCCGCAAATTACCTACTATATTTTGCTGAACTCCGAGTTCCAGTGATAATACTAATCTAATGCGAATAGGCATCTCTGTGATATGGACAGAAATGGGCGGGAGCCAATACGTAATTGGGTGGTTTATATTATTTGTTTTTTATTCTAAGCAAAATTCATTTGGAAAAATATAGAACAAGGCTATTTTAAATGAACGCACTGCTCGCTTCGGCTTTTGTAGATGCTGCTTCTTCCTTCACCACAGATGACAGCAAGTGCGGAGACGCACGCAGTCGGTCAGCTGATCGATCCGTCCGTCCGTCCATCCATCCATCCATTATGTTTACCCGCTTCTTCCTTTTTGGGTAGTGGGGGTCGCTGGTGCCCATATCCAGGCATCACTGTGCGAGAGGCGGGGGACACCCTGGATAGGTCGCAAGTCCATTTCAACCGACGGGTCAGCGGACACGCACGGCTGGTGACAGTTGTCCATCTGAGCTTAGCGCAACTTGTTTTACCTCTTTCAACCGGCCGGTCAGACTTGCCTCCTCCTCAACAAGTAGATTAATACAATTTTATATTGTACATTCTTATTTAGTTTTATTTGTGCTGTATGATTCGTAAAACCACATCAAAGCCCGAGACCGGCCCAGCCCGCACATTAAGCACATTATTATGAACTGGCCCGGTCCAAATCTGGGTCGGGCTCCAGGTCGACAGCTCTAAAATACGCTGCGCGTTAACATCATATCCGGAAGATGTCCATAAATTTCAGCTAAATCTCAGGCTTTGGTTATCCCGTGCGAATGTGCCACATAAAAATCAGACGTTGGGGAGTAATTTATTTATTACATGTGGTCCCTAGGTAAAACTAATTCTGTGCGAATAAGTCTTTAGACCTAATATAGGCTAACAAATGCAAATACACCACTTCTGCTTTTCATTTTGTTTGAAAAACATAGCTTAATGAAATTATTTTCTTCATATTTGTGATTTTAAACAGTTTTGAAAACAAGACAATTGTCACAAAGCTATTACTGTGCTGCATTCCATCTCACAACAATGTTATTTTGTATTCTGTGACCCTTTCTTTTCATTGGTGCTCTTTTTCCACTAAGTCTCAAACTCACTTTGCCCAGGTGTACGGTTGTTTAGTTCAATTTGAGTCAGTCTAACAGGAAAAATTATTTTTTTAAGGTGCAAATGCTTGATTTAAAACTTAACTTACCCAAAAAGTTTAACAGCTGAACTGAACATAGTCCAAATTGATAAGCCATCGTTAGATTAATCAATAAAAATGAAATTGAAATTAAAAAATGCAGTCTTAATGAAATGGTCTTCAATAAAAAGGTGCTAGTTTTGCAGTCACACTTGGTGACAGATGGACATGTTTTAGTTCTACAGAAAGTGAACCAGCCCACTCACTCCATTATACTCTAAAACAAGTCTCCTCTACATCTCTCCTCTTTGTGTGCGCGTTATTATTTTTCTCTGGATCAGGCTATTGACTGGCCCACATCTCACATTTTAGTCACGGCTCGATCCTTTTGTCTTACAGTCAGAGCTCCTCGCCATAACTCACTGCCTATGAGAATGAAAATCGATGGTCATTCCCCCCTTTACTCGGCTGTTCGTCGTCTGCCTCATGATTGCTATCATTTTTAGAAGCGCCAATCAGTTAGCGTACTGTAGCAAGTGTCTGCAAGATGGAGATAAAGATGGGGGAGTGGGGACAAATCAGCTGAAGAAAAGATGCAAAGAAGGTAGAGAAGATGTTGGATTTTGTGGCATTTTGTTTTGTTCTTATCCCCATTCAAGTGCTTACGTTTTTTAGGGCGAAGAGTATTTTTAGGAGATTCTAGTTATAGTAAGGATGAGTATGTTAAATATATGTGTGTGTTGAAGGCCAGGTTAGGCAAGGCTGCTAGGCAAAGATTGATGGTAGTGGGCACCACCATCTCAGCACCCTGAGAGCTGTAACCCTCACAAGGGCACTATACTCTATGCACATGCACATGCAGTATATATTGTGTGTTTTTGTGTTGTTGGACTGTGAATTCAATGCTATGAAGCCTGCCCCCAATGCTGTGCACTATTGGCTTTCTGAGATGGATGGCTGTGGTCTACTGCCCGCCGCCTCCATCTCTCAACAGCACACACATACACACATTTATCGTCACTCATTGTGATAATGCCGGCAGCTTGCACCAATCTGTGCATGTTTGTATGTGTGTAAAAGGACAAAGAGTTGGTATTCTTTTATTCTAGTTTATTTTTTTATTTTTTATGTTTTGTGTGCATGTTTGTCCACCTGCTCCATGCATGTTTGCATCCACTGTAGCGTGTCTGCCTATTTTGCTCCTGTGTATTTTCTGGTGGCTGGTGTCTACTCCCACCAACAATAACACTTTCTCCTTCCTCAAAATCCCCTCATTGTTTGGGTGGGCAAACATTTGAGCCTTCGCCCTGTTGTGAAGCGTGCGCTGAATGAGAATGCTAAGAAAATACACCCCAAAACTGTGGCCAAAGCTTAAGAAAAATCATGTTTTTGTGTGCGTATGTGTGCACCATTGCAGCTTTTTTCACCTTCTTAGTCTTCCTCCTGCATTTACCTTCGATTGAAAGCTTTGCCAGTTGAGTAAATCAATTCCCATGGAGCGGTTTGAACCAATCGCAGCTCTGGGAAGGAAAATGCAATAGGAAACAAGGATGTTGTTTTTTATAGGTGATAGAAGGTTTTATGGTATGAGTGTGTGTTTGAGTGTAGATGCAGTCATGCTATATATATATATTGTGTAATCAGTTTAAGTGAAAGGTTTGAGCCTTTCACATCACATCCTGCATGTACATACTTCACACTGAGCCGCGTTCATCTTTTTTGTGCAAAAGCATCTTAGTGTTTTTATCCATGTCTGGTTGTGCAGAGCTGTGCATGACAGTGTAGGCTGGTTTATTGTGATAACTAAGCATTGTTTTCAGTGTGAATGTTCCTAAATTTCCCAGCCCCTGCGTCATAGATTATGAGCCCATTGTGCATAAGTGTGTATCACCTTGGTGGAAGCACTTATCAAAAGTTTATCTTTTTTTTTCCCTCCTTAGAGATCAGAAAATAGGCTTGGTGCAGTTGAAGTTGGTGATA